GGGGCCGGGGCCGGGAGCGGGGCCGCTGTCGGTGCCTGCGCACGGGCCGGGCCCCGCCGCCCCGCCGAGCAGCCACGGGCAGCCGGGGAATCGCATCCGCCTCCTCCGGGCTGGGCGGCAGCGGGCGGGGAGCGGCGGCAGCGCGGAGCGCCGAGCACTGCCGCCTACCGGCACCGGGAGCGGCTCCGCCACCGCCGCGGCCCCGGTACCGCCACCGCCGCCGGGACTGGCACCGGCACCCACACCGGCACCGGCGCGGCTTTGGCACGGGGACTGGCGCTGCCGGGCCGCTGGCACCGGTAGTGGCTCCACCACGACAGCGGCACCAGCACCGGCACCGGCACCTCCACCGCTGCCACCGACACCGGCATTGGCACCACCTGGGAACTGGTATCGGCTCTGCCACCGGCACCAGCCTCTGCATGACATCAGCACCGATGTCGACACGAGAGTGGGTGACACTGGCCTGGATCTGGGTCCAGGGAACACCGATTTGGTGGCACCGAGGGCCAGGAGCCGTGGGGGAAGAGGACACGACCACCCGCACCAGGACCCCCGTCCTGGCCAGGAGACCCTCGTGGGGGGACATTCTGGGTTTGGGAACCACCCCGTGTGCTCATCCTGACCCTGGAACCTTTGGTTTTAACAGTGCTGGGGCTGGGGCCAGGCCACAGAAAAGCATTACGGTCCCACCTTCCTGGGATTATCCCGGGAAAAGCTCCTCAGCGCCTCGGTGTTCCAGGATCCGCACGGATGAGCCATGACCGGGCTCCCCTGGGCTGGACAGGGAGCGGGGTGACCCCGGCCCCGGAGGGAGGGCAGTGGTACAAGAAGGGTTAACGGGCTGAGCAGCATCCCGGGAGCCCGAGCGGCCATTTCCCTGCAGGATGTAATCGCTCCCTGTCCCCTGCAGCGCCGTGCCCCCCAGCTGGGACACCCCGAGCCCCCAGGCTCTGCCCCACGGCCCCATGGCTGAGCCATTTTCATGATACGTTTTCTCCAATACCCAATCCAAATATGAGTCCATTTCCAATTTTCCTGTCCCTGTTCCCTGGGAGCAGACCCCGACTCCCCCCCCCCCGGGCTGTCCCCTCCTGTCAGGAGCTGTGCAGAGCCACAAGGTCCCCCCTGAGCCCCCTTTTCTCCAGGCTGAGCCCCTTCCCAGCTCCCTCAGCCTCTGAGGTTTCTTCGTCTCAGCCATGGATTCACAGCACAGACATGGTTTGCTTGGTTTATTCCCCAAATTTTCCAAATATCTTTTACCACGCAGGTGATATTCCCCAGGGAATGTTAGTTCAGAGGCTTTGACCCCCAGGACAGCACCTGCTGGAGATCCCACTCCTTGTGGCAGTGGGGAATTGAGGCTGGGTCTGCCACAGCACCTCTGCCCCCTCAGGAGTGAGGGGTGCTGGGGCCTGGAGCATCCCACGGGATCCAGGGCTCAGGAGACAGGGAACCATCCCCTCTGTGGGAATGGAGCGGTGTCCCAGTCCAGGACACAATCCCTCATGTGAGGAGCAGTGCAGGATGTGCAGGCTGTAAAACCACATCCCAGCCTGGAGCACCCAGCCTGGAGAGGGACTGGGGACAAGGGATGGAGGGACAGGACACAGGGAATGGCTGCCACTGCCAGAGGGCAGGGATGGATGGGAGATTGGGAAGGAATTGTTCCCTGGGAGGGTGGGTAGGGCTGCCACAGGTGTCCAGAGCAGCTGTGGCTGCCCCTGGATCCCTGGCAGTGCCCAAGGCCAGGTTGGACAGGGTTTAGATCACCCTGGGACAGGGGAAGGTGTCCCTGCCCTGGATGGTCCTTAACATCCCTTCCAATCCAAACCATTCTGGGATTCTATGAGGAATAAAAGCAAAGTCAACTCCAGGACTTCACTTATGAAGAAGGAAACAACGAGAAGCCAGTGCCAAACGGTTTTTGGGACATTATTCCTGTACCTGGGATGGGCAGGGTGCTTTGGGGCCAAGTGTATTTTCCCAGTCCTGCTCAGAACTTCTGGAAGTGCAGCACAGCACCAGCTGGGTGTTCTCTGCTGCTCCTCAGGGGCTGCTGAGCCTGGAGACTTCATTCCAGCTGGAGTCTCTGACTGAGGACACCCCTCCAACTGGAGGCAACACATTTTTCCTCTTGGCATGCAACTGGAATATTCAAAAATGCTGAAAACCACCAGCACGTGGGGAGAAAACACAAAATCTGCATGTGCTGCCTCCTGTCTCCTCTCCTCCACCCTTCTCCCTGCTGCATTTCCAGTTCCCAGAGGCACATCACCAACACACTGTACACACATTTGGAATATACCCATGGAGTTTTCCCCCCAGAATTTCAGAAACCAAAGCAGCATCTCACCCTACAGGAAAACATGGGGTCAATATAAAAACAGAAACCAAAAATAGAGTTAGTTCTGCACGTACAGTAATGGGAGAGCAGCTAAAGTGGGGAAATAACGCCTGGAATTGGTTGCTTCAAACATCAGCTTACAATCCCATTCCCAATTCTTTGTTTTTCATCCTTGGAAACTTCCAGTTTCTCTGTGGTACTCTGGATGCTCTCCAGCACGCCTTGTTTGGTGCACCAGGTTTTTTTTTAATGCCCCTTTAGGTACAAACAGTGCTGCTCTATCCTACTCCTGGCTCCAAGGAGGAGCTGGATGGAGCAGGGTAAGAATGACAGGAATGATGCAGGTCCTGATCAGTGATGGTTAGGGCAGCAGCAAATTGAATCAGAACTCGATTGGTGTCTTAGGTTGCAATGCAAGATGTAACCAGATGCATGTACTCCATCACCATGGAGTTAAAAAACCTGGTGGGACATTAAAACCGGGTGGGACAGGGTTCTTTATCTCTTCCATGACCATCCTCCTTCAGGAAGTATCTTCTGTTAATGGGCCATTGATGTCCCTGCATGGCTGATAAAATTCCATCATCCCATTGGGAGATGCTCTGCCCAAAGGGAGGAGCCAAGCATTCCTACCTGGGTATAATTGGGAGCACCACAGCAGCCTTTTCCCACTGCATTCCCAGAGGAAGAGGAGACCCATCTACGCCACCACTGGAAGAGTTTTTCAGAGGAAAACTTTGCCCTGCTGCAGGATCACTGAAGGAGGGCTGAGCCACCACTGAACCAGGCTGCTACCAGCACTCTGCCCCACAGGGTGCCAGGTTGTATCCTGACTCTGTCAGTGCTTTTCTACTACTGCATTTTATTCTAATTTTCCTATTCAATTAGTAGTTCTCACTTGGGATCTCCTGCTGGTCAGCTTTCCAACTGAAGTTTGAAAAGTGGGAAAGCTGCCTTGTCCCCAGAATCTACTCTAACCCAGAGAGGAACTATAAACCCCCACCTCGGGGCAGAGCAGGATTTTTGACAGCAAAGCTCTACCCTAGGCAGGCTTGTGGCACGCAGCTGACGTGGAGATGGACTCTGAGCATGAGTTTCTCCAGGAAGCAGCCAGGTTTCTCCAGGAACCAGGAGGGTTTCTCCAGGAACAAGGTAGGTTTCTCCAGGAATTAGGCGGGTGTCTCCAGGAAGAAAGCGGGTTTCTCCACCGAGCAGGTGGGTTTCTCCAGGAAGCAGGTGGGTTTCTCCAGGAAGCAGGAAGGTTTCTTCAGGAACCACACATGTTTTTCCAGGAAGCATGTGGGTTTTTCCAGGAAGCAGGTGAGTTTCTCCAGGAAGCAGGTGGGTTTCTCCAGGAACCAGGAGAGTTTCTTGAGGAACCAGGAGAGTTTCTTGAGGAATCAGGAGAGTTTCTTGAGGAACCAGGAGAGTTTCTTGAGGAATCAGGAGAGTTTCTTGAGGAACCAGGAGAGTTTCTCCAGGAAGCAGGTGAGTTTCTTGAGGAACCAGCAGAATTTCTCCAGGAACCAGCAGAGTTTCTCCAGGAACCAGGAGGGATTCTCTTTCTCCAGGAAGCAGGCTGGTTTCTCCGGGAAGCAGGCTGGTTTCTTCAGGAAGCAGGCAGGTTTCTCCAGGAACCAGGAGGGTTTCTCCAGGAACAAGGTGAGTTTCTCTAGGAAGCATGCGGGTTTTTCCAGGAAGCGGGCGGGTTTCTCCAGGAATCAGGTGGGTTTCTTCAAGAAGCAGGCAGGTTTCTCCAGGAACAAGGTGAGTTTCTCTAGGAAGCATGTGGGTTTTTCCAGGAATCAGGTGGGTTTCTCCAGGAACTAGGTGAGTTTTTCCAGGAATCAG